CTCAAGGTTTGGATCCGCCACTGAACACATAGCTTAGGACGGAGGAAGACGTGACGTAGTCTATGCTGATTGGTTAAGAGGATTGTTAGATAGACAAGCTTTACAAAATATTAATTCATGCCAATTAGGAGAAATTAGAGACAACAATCAAGTCTGTTCGCGAAAAATTCAACTCCAAGGAACCCATGTTACTGAATTGTTGAGCTATAATCACCTCCATTCCCTCAGGTAGCTTTTAAGTCGGAGGGGGGAAATATCTACTCGGCGTATATCCGTGGCGTATGAAATAATAAAATAATAAGCGCAAAGAGTTCAATTTTAATGCGCTATATAAGAACTTATTATTATATTAAATTAAATTTGGTTTTATCAACTGAAATGATAATGTAAATTTGGTCATCGTAACGAGATTCTCAAACTGGCGTGTTGAGCGTTAGCCCTTCGTTAACTACGTCAAGAAAAAGATTTGTAACAAGCATACGTCAAGTTAAAGGGAAAAAAATGGAGTCATTGGCGAAAATTCGAGCCTTCGATCTTTCGATTTCACGCTCCATTGTTCAACCAATGAGCTAAACTGAAACCCTTAACAAAGAACCAGACAATATATGAACTCCCAGTGTCTGACAAGCATCCGACACACTATCAAGATTAGCAATGTCAAAAGTATAGATTTTTAGAACTGATTCAATCACATTAGATCGAGACGGACAGCTAAACGTTCAAGACCTTGATTGTGTTACACCAATCTTCCTGTAGTGCCAACCTAGCGATTCTTAGTTCCATATCACTCACACAAGCTGTGCCTAAAAATGTTTCCTACTTAGTGCTACAACGCGTCTTGTTTCGAAAAACAACCAACAGCGAGATGCTGAAGAAAAGCAATAACTTGTACGTATCAGTTCTCAGTTTTAGGGTCCAGCGGAAACTATATGTGATTGATAAAATTTGTAGAAACGAAAAACACTGCCAGCTTGCATTTCCTGACATCAACGAAATGAAAGGTAACCTAAAATGCCAACAGCGTGCATTCTTTGGATGACCATTTGATATACTCCTTAATGGCACTTGACTTTGGCATAACTTCGCTAAAAGCTTCTCTTTTTTTAGCCTCGAAATCTACTGATAAAACTTCCTTTGCTCTCACCTAAGACTATGACAGCCAATGTTTTTAGTTCATTCTACTTGCCATAGAGCTCAACAGGTAGGTAGGTATTGACAAGCATACGCAACTCACTTCATGAGAGAAGTCGCACCTTGAGCTTGCTAAAGTGGGTAACGATCCGAGAGGAGCACACAGGTGCCCCACACAGGTGGCTACCTTTTTCTAGCACAGCTACAGAAATAATCCCCACTCAAAGCGAAAATTCTAGGCTACTTCATCCCGTCGTCGTCATTGGCAAGATGCAGAGGAGTGAACTTAAGCTTGATATGTAATCTTTGATGACTGAAAGAAAACAAGCGGACCTCGTGATAAATGGCCTGGCTTACCGCAGGTTCTCATTTCCCCATAAAACAGAGTTCTGGCAACAACTAAGTATGTTGTTAAAGGTTAAAAGCTTTAACCTTGAGAGCACAAGTAACGAAAAGTAAGCATTATAAACATACCGACCGGAAAAGAGATAAGGATATCTGTACTTGACATTTGGAGAGTTTTCTAGGAGAGCACTTCCCCCACCCAACCCCTTAAAAAAAAGAACAGGTAGAGTGGTGAGGGAGTGTTGCGTGACATCCCAAGGAACGGCTGCAAAAGAGCGTGTAGGAAATCAACCCCCAATTGTGTTACATGGGAAAAGCTTTCACACCATTATTGAAACGAGATGTCTGTTGGATGATCTGACTTTCCCATTCAGGCCTCATTTAATGAATTTAGTTTTGAACAAAGATTTCGCAATGCATTTGGCACTTGATTTTAAAAAGGTTAATCTTTGATAAGTCGCGATAATGTGATAATCTGACGATTGCAATGCGATTGCCCCAAGTAACTCATTATAAATACAGTTTATTGATAGGAGATGGGAAAACCACCTCTTGGCCTGATTTTAACATTCAATTGCTAATTATGCCGCATCATTTTATGAAAAAGGATGAAAAATGAAGTCAGCTATAGAAAACAATCTGTAATCTATTTCATTTCTGTAAAAAGCGATTGGCACGAAAATGAAGGAAATGTGTTTTCTTCATTTTGAAGTTATTTTTTCCCTATTGACTATTCTACCACCACGATTTATTCCACATTTTAAGCTCATCAGTTTGAAATGACGTCGAAAGTAGACTGTTTAGGATATTTTTTTACTAGAACGATTTGGCACATTGATGACTGTAAGTTTAGCCGCATAATCAGATATTGTAGTAGAACGTTGCCAGAAAAATGAAAAAAGATCCTCGAAACTAAAACAAAAATTTTTCCTCCGCAATTTTCTGCTTCACATTATTTAATTTTTAGAAAAATACGCAAGGCATGGTATCAGGATTATGTCCAAAGGGAACTAGAAATGTAAATATCAAGGAAGTTGCCCTTACATGACGCAGCAATTTGTCATGCTATGATATTCACTAAAGATAATTTCTAGTAACAAAGCCATATAAACACAGTCATAGCCAATTTGAACCAACATTTACCATTGGCTTACTCACAACAGGCGGAGGAAACAGCAAATGAGATGTTTAAGTATTTGAATAAATGCAATTAACTACCCCATCTGCAGTTTCTTTCTTTGACGCTCAATTAAATTTTCTCACGTCGGTTCATTTTGTTATGTGCGAGTCAGTCATTCTTCATCTTTCGAACTGTGGATA